TTTAAAGCAATTGTCGGTTTATAAATAATATTTATTTCTCTTATTTTCTTTATTTTTTATCGTTAGTCAGTCACGATCTGACAACCTTTTCAATCACTTATAGTGAGCAATACATGAGTAATACTTAGATGAACGAATCAAAAGTTACGTCAATGACTGTAAGCAAGTTATTGACGTAAATGACCCCGAAACAGTTGAAATATTTTTTTAAATATTTTTTTTTCCTACTTTGTTTTTACTCTTCCCTTTGCTCAAAAAGTAAACACCTGGTTAGCTCTACATAACGTATACAAAAAGTGTGCACGGTTACAGCTAGCGCATGACTCACCTATGACTGTTTTGGATGCTCAATCCTCCAAGGTTGCCCTCTACAGGTGGGGGAGTCGTCGGCGAAAATTCCCACGGTCGCAGTTTTTCTTTTTAACTGCTATAAATTCAGTGGACTCCCCCACCTGGAAGTTGAGAGATCTCTAGTTTTGTGTTCCTCCACTATATCACCATTCTTTTTATCCTCTTTTGAAAGATGTATTAGGGGAGGGGGATTGTCTCGAAAGAGGGGAGGTTAGATGGCAACACCTGCCTTTTTCGGTTAAGGTGAAGCATCTCTGAGGGTTTATTTCTGCATTATTTCGGTTACAGTAGCTCTGCATTGTAACAGAATCTTATTAACTTTTTTTTCTTTTTTGCTCTCTGTGTTCGAGAATTAATGGAAGGTTCTTATTAAATTTCAATGACCGTTTAAACGGTTATCATTATTATATCGTCGCTTTTTTGTATTATCTATACTGTGGGAAAATTATTAAATCTTCGGAAATAATCGTTTGATATGATGCAGTAGGATATATATAAGTAATTGTTCTACACTCCTCGCTAGCATTAATGGAATTGTACTTAATTTAATCTTATGGTAATTTTTTTTTCTTCATTTATTTAAGAAGATTTAAGATGACTTCATCTCTCCAGTAGATAAATTTTTCATAAATATGAAATCATTTATTTGGTTTTAAAAATAAACATAAATATCTTCAATTTCAATTTGCAAAAGAAGTATCGTGTAAAAAATTAAGAAAAATATCATTGAAAAATATTAAAAATAAATAATATTAATCAAATAATTTTGTTAATGATTATTGTGTATTGTTTAAATTTGTTATGTATTAATGAAATGTATAATACTAATTATTGTTGTATTTAATTAAATGTGTATTATAAATTTTTTCTTTATCCTCCGATAATCAATTAACTCCATTAGGGGAAACGGATGTAATTAAATATTCAAAAATTAGAAAGTTATTGATATTTTTAATAATTAATTACGTTGATCATAAAAATTCTCAATTGTTGCTTAAGAGGGTTCTTCTTTCTTAAAATAACTTAATATTAAAATTCTTGTTTTATTATCATTAACGATTGAGGGGGCTTGGAGACAAACAATGATAAATCACACTTTGAAAATGTTCATGAAAATGCGAGTTTTTTTGATGTAGACATGTATGTATCAATATATATGTTAGTACATATCTATCGTATTACATACATGTTAAATGTGGATGTTCCTAATACTTAAAGTATTTGTCTGGAAACAATACAAAGGGACAGCTAAATGAAGTAATCTTAAAAAGGTGTCTTATCACTTCATATTGCTCTTATCTGTCCGAAGCCCATTCATGTGTTGGCTTTTAAAATAAAGGTTTTTAAATAATTATATTTTTTTATTGCTGTTGAATTTTTTTTCTCACATTCTAATATTAATCGATACTACGCATTCTAAACAAAAACATAAATAAATAAAATAAAGTTCATAAAAAGAAATTGAATTGGTTAGTTTAAATTGTATTCTATGTGTATAGCAATCTTATTCTGTGATCGTTTTGAAAAGAATAGATTTTCCAGCTTTACATTACCTTATAATATTCCACTATTTAATAACATTCCACTTTATTTTGCGTGTCAATAAATGTTATTAAAAAATACTGCACTTTCTCACGGCTTTCCTGCTCTGATTATGGTTAAATATCAAAAGCATCGTTCGTAAAATGGGGAATACATAAAATTTTGATGGGGAGGCGAGGGGAAAAATAACATTGTTTCCTGAAACACCTGATTCAACGCTATTGTTAACACCATTTCTATTATAAAGAAAGCTACCTTTGGTATTGTAAACGGTAAATTGGGTTGCAACGGTTTATCGGTATTCGCTTTAGTACCTATTTTAATAAAGAGATTTATGGTGCTTTTTTTTATCATAGGGACTTGATTATTGTAAGTATATGTATGGATTGCTAGTGTGAGTAATTTTAATGCAAAATTCAAGCGTTATTTATTTTTATTCAGTCGCGTATTTCTTTTATATTCCATTTATTTTAAAGTTTTCAAGTAAACTACCAAAAATTTTTAGATTTTGTTCTTTTTTTTAAAAAAAAATTCTCAAAATTGAAATAAATTAGTCATTGTTGAAAATCATTTTTCTCACGAATTGAATTTAATCTCATTTCAGTAATGATAGACATGCCAATTTGTCTCATATTTAGAAAATAATTTACCATCTTAATTTTATTAGTTGCGAGTAAATTTAATTATTATTCATAGAGCGACTATCTTATTACTAATAAACTAATTTCAATTTTTATTTATTGTTATTCAAAAGTCTATTAAATGATATTATCTGAACAAAAAAGTTTTTTTTAACAAATTTATTTTCTTGATTTTTTTAAAATTTTGCATTTTAACTAGCTGGCACTAATTGTACTGATATTTCTAGCTCGTTAGCGCTTGCGTCCTTTCTAACTTCTAGTTAGGATGCAAGTGCGTCGTTAGGTGCAAGGCACTTTTTAACAAATTTATTTTCTTGGATTTTTTTTTATTTTTAAGTTTTGCATTTTAATTAGCTAGCATTAATTGTACTCGTACTAGTTAGGTGAACGGTATTTACATCCTAACTAGATATTTGAATGTCTATTAAATGATACTATTGGAACAAAAAAGCCTTTTTTTTTTAAATTTCACTTTTTAACTATCTAGCACTAATTGTATTGATATGTCTAGCTCGTAGGCACCTGCATTCTAACTATTTTCTTTGCGCTTGAAATGTATGCACTTCGTTTGCTTCATAAATAAATATATAGAAACATGTTTCGAACACTCGAATTTAAACTCTCATTCTCAAGACGTGAATGAAGAAAACAAAACAGATCCAATAAAGAAAAACAAAGTTGCCAACGAAAAAATTAAAGCTCTCAACTGATTAAATACAAACAAATGTTTTTTGTTGCGGAGATGTTCAAGGTATTCGATGCCCCAAGCGAAAGAAATATTGCATTTAATTGAATGTTTTCATACTTGATTTATATTCGTTAAAAGATATGCATTAATCGAGCTTCAAAAATAAGTGTCACTAAGAGGCGACTCAAATGCCAATTTTTCTCTATCTTGTAGTGTAATCAAACGCGTGACATGTGCAGTTTATCTTGCTGCCCCAGAAAAAATAAACTGAAATTAATCGTTTGTAATTTTTAATGGAGTATCGTTTGAGACTTAAGAGGGAAAAAATGGCGATAGTTCTTTTAAGTGAACTTATCAATGGGTAAGCTATACTTTAAAACAGAATAACTGCATATCCGCGTCTTTTATCCCCTCCCCCTGATTTTTCCCTTTCTTGATCAAATAAACACTTTCTTTTTTTTTCTTTTTTTTCCTGAGTGAAGACATGGACGTTTAATAAATGACATAATCGCGTTTCACCATCAAAACATCTTGAGTGACAACCGTAACGATGCAATGAAAAAAATATATATACATCAAGAAAAATAAGTGCTAGAGAAATGAGAAAAAGATGTTCTAAAACAATTTTTTTTTTAATACTGACATTTAATATATTTATTTGTCAATCCGTATCTCCTTTCGAAGTTTAGTTCGCTCATGCATTACATGCTCTATCCATTATTTTTTAGATTTTAAACCTATTTTTTTAAGAAAAAGAAGAAAAAAAGATATTTTTTCAAATTACTTAAATTTTTTAACTGTTCTCGTACATATGTTACCGTGAATGACTACCGAAATCAAGAGAATGTCGACTTTCACCGGTGAATGTCAACAATCACATAGTCGCTTTGGTGAATGTCCGAAATATTTGTTATATCCGATTCGATATTAATTTATTCGTTGATATTATATTTATTCGATATTTTAATATCTGCGGAGGATAGATTGGGATAAACATCAGAGTTCGGAGTACTGGTTAAATTTTGTTAAGCAGTGGCACTGATCCTTAAAAAAACATCAGTGTAGGGTATACCAGACAGTGGCACTGACCTTTAATAAAAACATTGATGTAGAAGAGTTCGTGGGTTCGATCCCGCCGGCCGAAGACTCCCCTGTAGTAAATTGTGTCTGATACACGTTAAATCTGTCGAGTCGCTAAGTTCTCCATGTTCCCATAACAAATCAATACCTCTGGTGGTACTGATCCAGGAGTTTCCTTGTCTTCTAGATTGGTTCAAAATTACAAGGCTACGGAGTTGAACATTAGTAGTAGTAAACCCAAAAAAAGTGGGTCTGCTGTTCAACGACGGCTTTGGCACTTAACTAGACCTATAATATATATTTCGGACATTTACCAAAACAACCAGAAATTTCGGTCATTCAGAGTAACATATACATTGATGCAAGCGTGGTATTTTTATAAGACAGAAGATAGTTGAAGGTAGCGAGTATGCTTTTAAACCTAGCCCATGAATAGCTAGTGCCCCTTGTAGTAAATGTTTTTTTTTTCTTGTCAAAATATATTTAGGGATAAGCTTTAATCTCTTTATCGAAAGTCCTTCAAAAATAAAGAACTGTCAATAGTTTTTTTGTCGACATATCACGTCATTAGCGCTTAATGAAAATTCTTGAATATTTCATTTCTTGTGTGTGGTTTAAGATTTAAATAAAATAAATGTTTGTAATTTTAGTAACTATTGAATTTTATCGAATGACTGATATATTTTTTTCTTTTTCAGCAATCAAATAATGACAGATCATCTTTCAACAATAACCGGCCAGTATTTAAATTCTTCAAAAAATTCTAGACTGATAGTGTGTGTGATCCCATTGACTGATATTCTCTTCATAAAACATATTTTTCATGCAATCATTGAGGTATTAAAACATTTGTATTTTCGCTCTACACAAGTTTTGCGAACCGAAACTGAAGAAAGAAATGGTTCATCAGTGGAAAAGAAATTAAGAAGAAAAAATGAAAAAAACTGTTACAATTAAGTCTGTTATAATTGTTTAAACTGAAGAAAATATGTTAGAGAACTTCGGATATTCTGTTATTGTATTTGCTATTAATTATATAAGTTTTTGTAATGTTTTATATTATCATTATAGTTCCAATTATTAAAATTTATTGTATTGATTTAACCATTTGTAACATTTTCTTTAAAGAAATAATTTTTCAATATTTGTTGTGTTTTTCAATTGTTTTTGATAAGTTGGAGAAAAAAAGTGTAATCCCATGTTTTAATATAATTAAAGCGAGGATGACCTACGGTTTCTTCTTTTATCTGAGCAAAACTGCCTAGATTTTCTTTTTTCTTAATGGCAATACTTAAATTTCAATTTATATTTGCATAGTGTTTGTTAATTTACTTTACTTCATCTAATTTTAATATGAAAAGAAAAATTCAGCATTTTGAATATATATTTGTTGGAAACTTAAATCATTATCTTTCGTCGATCTCTAAATTTTATTCTAAATCAATTTTTTTTTCTTTCTCACGACCAAAGTATTTACTTGCCAAAGAGATTTCATTTGAATACACACATTTTGTTGCTCAATTTTTGTTCCCTTCTTTCACTGCCAAAATATCTCACTTCAATTAATAAGTACCTTTTGTTAAAATGAGTTGTAACAACGACTTAAACATTACTAACTACATCCTCTTAATAATAATTAGGACTAAGAATTCTTAACAATTTTACGGAAATTTAATGATTGTAATAAAATAATGACGTTTTTCTGTGTATGTTTAGTTGTTAACCTTAATAAAACCTATAAAAATTGCTGTAAGTACAGTGGAGTCTCTCTATAACGAAATCAATTGAAAAATTCGCTTTAGAGAAAATTTCCTTATACGGCGGTTATAGATTTGTGCAACCATCCATTTAAGTAAACGTTACAGAATGTTTAGTAGGTGTTATAAGTTAAAAAATGTTTTGACTTTTCATTAAAATATTATAAATTTATTAAAATCATTAGTTTTTTATTGTAATAATAAAATAAATGTTCAAAAGTTAAGACAGCTCATCAATTAAAAGAAATTTTCACATTTTTAAGAGCTAAAAATAGTCTTGCTTTGTTCTATATTTTGCATGGGAATATAATAATACATATATTATAGTTGTTAGTCTACTTCAAAAGAGTAAGTTACATAATCTGTTAACTTTCCTATTCTCTTTTAAAGTTGAAACAAACTTCAGAATTTCATCGAAAATGTTGAAAAGTTGTAAAATACTTCAAAATTCGTTGTATGGAAACACCCAGTTCGAAGAATATTGTGAATTTATTTTACGTTCTGGATGAAAATATCAGATAGAGACATTCTCTTAAAGAGATTTCGATGTAGGGAGACTCTACTGTATATTTTTACATTATTTTTTTTAACTAGTAAAATATTTGACGAGTAAAATAATTAATTTTTGATAGTAATATTTTTTTTTTTTTTGAAAATGCATTTTCTTTATTCATTGGTAGTTTTTATTTATTTATTTATCATCTGGCATCATTATAATATAGATTTGTATTATCTGTATATTTTCATTAATATATGTGTGGCCTCTTTTATTAACCAAAGCTAAATATAATCATTTATTTTTATAATACAAATAACAGTACAGCTTGTGCATGGGTTTTGTTATTGCTTATGCTTTTAGTTAAATTATAGATTTTGCTTTAATAATTTATTATATTCCCAATAAAAAAAAATCATTTTGATTAAAATTATCATTATTTACTTTGAAGTTTATTATAACATATTAACCATTTTAATAACATTGATCTTTTTATAAAAAAAAAATTATTAGGAGTTCTTAATAATTTTGCTCTCTTAACTTTTTCAATATAGGCAATTTGATTGTAGGAATTATTATTTTATTATTGATTAAAATTCTGGTTATTTGATTTTTGCTGTTTTAATTGACTTTTTTAAAACAAGTAGTTGTGACTAATTTCTGCTAAAAATACTTTTAAACCTTTCCAACTCTTTTTAATAAATATTATACAAAATATTTGTTTATGTTTTATACTTGAGTATGCTCAATTTTTTAAGTACTGCTTTGCTCATTTTTTTACGAAATATTTTTATGCTTTTAGTACTGATTGCTTGATTTATTTTTGTATATTTTTTCACTATATAGCCCTTCAATATATTAAAAAATATTAGCCCTTTAAAAAAGATGAAAAATTATTTCTAGTTAAAGAAGTTCCAATTCTAAATGTAAGGATATACTTACCACACGAATAATAATATAATAGAAAAATTATAAATAAAAAAAAGAGGGAAATTCAAAAATAGGGTGTTATAATTATACTTTATAGGGTTAAATTAAGATAAACTGCTATCGTCATTAAGTTCACTGCTATCTCAGTTTTTCGGATTAGTTTTTGTTCTGTTAGTTTTAAATTTGTATTTTGGTGGTATTATCATCACATATGACTAGCGATTCTTTACTTAATTTATTCGAACAAGTTCTTATACTTTACCTTAATTTTTATAATGCATAATCGATATCCCGATTCTAACAATTTTAAGATGTTGGATTTTTAAAAAATTCATTTGGCGATATTTGGCTCGATATTTCACTCATTTCATCGTAAACATCTGTTGCTGGAAAGGTGTTGTGAATATTGCAAGCAATCAAAACTGCCTTTTATCATATAAATGTTAGCACATTTGCTAACTTCTTGGTCACAAAGCCCAAGAAACGCACAATGTTTCTACAATCAACAAAAAAAATACTTTTTATACCATATATAAAGTGAAAATTTTCTGAAATGAAGCAAATAACTGTAGTGGTAGATAAAATAAAAAAATTTTCAGCTCCTACCCATACACTGATAGAATAATAGTTCTGATCCTATCCACGCCCTGATTGCCTTTGTAAGATTGCTGCCATATGTTATATGTTCCTGATTCAAATTGTAAATAGTCTTTAACTATTTTATTTCGTTTTTTTATTTGCTATTTTTCATATTTAATCCAGAAACCTTACTAATCTAGAAATTTTTTTCTATTCACTTGTGTTTGTGCCTTTTGCCTCATGCTTGTTCATTTGCTATTGTTGTGAAAAGTTTGCAATAATTCTTTGTAATTCATTTTACACTATATATATATATTATATACATTTGTATATATTTTTGGGTCTGGAAACATGACTGTGAACTTTGATCTCAGCATTGTGATAATCGTAACTGTGTTTATAGTCAAAGATTTCCAAACTTTTTATATTTTTTGTGTGCATTTTGTTACGTTTAAGCAGGAAAATAATTATTGATTTGAATTCACTTATTTTTATATTTATTGCTCATTTATACAAATAAGTGATAAGATTTATACAGCGGATATATCATAAGTATTCGTTATAACAATTAAAATGCTGAATTTTAGCAATAAAGAAAAATGGCGAGTTACTCTAGATCATTTTTATGAATGATTCGCCTCCAGGTTTATTTGCATTGATTGAAATCGAACTTTTTTTTAAAAAAAATAATAATAATTAATTCTACATTTATTAGAATGTGTGAACGAGATTACTTAAATTTAATAAATTAAAGGTAGCAATTTTGTCACAAATATTTTTCAAATGCTATATATTAAAAAAAAAAAGAAGTTACTATTTGCGAAAACGTTAAAAAAATTATCACTGAACAATTAATTCATGTCATATTATCTTCGTAAACATAAAATAAATTGAATTCCATTTGTATTTTTTTATTGCTTGTAATTTAAAAAATTAACATGCCAATAGCATCATTATGTTTTCCAATATTTGTGTATTAAAATACTTCTTACTTGTATTTGCTTGTAAAAAGTGTAGCATACGATTGGCTTAATCTCCCGTTTTCACCTCGGATGATAATATTTCGCCAGTTAAATGACGTATGATTGCTGAAAATCTTTCAGCCAATCAACGAACTGGATCTCTTTATCACTTGGCGAAAGTTATCACCCGATGTGAAAATCAAGATAATAAATTAGATTTTGTGGCCTAGCGGTTGAAAGTAATGTTGAGTATTAAGCTCATATATCTGGTATATATGCTGTATTAATTACTTTTAACCATGATTTCGGTTTATCTGAAATGTTTTATCAGATAATGTAAATTTTTGTAAATACTAAGAAAAAATTTTTAGCGCGTGTAGTTTTTCCCCCCTTTCCGCTAGGCTCGTAACTTTGCTGTGTAAATACCACTATTTTTTATTTGTTCTCTGTGATGGTTTTTTTTTTTTATACATAGCCTTTGATATAAATATATGTATATATACATACAATATCTGATAAGTATTGGATTCTGGATGTATTCTAAAATATTTTTGTGCTGTATAGAGAAAAAAAATTAAACTGTTCTGAATAATGTTAAACGGATTTTATATTTCTTCGGATATGAAAGTGTATGTGAATTGATAAAAATAAAATTATTCGTTTTTGCAATTTGTTGTGGTCATTCTTAGTTTTTATTTTTTTTATTTATTTATTTTTTTTAATTATCGGAGAGGAAGGGATTTAATACTTTATGAAAACTATAATTACAATATTCATAACGTGTGTGGTCCGCGACAGGAAGTCTGGAGTCAGTTTATAATTTTTACGTGACTTCATATTTAATAATAAATTTACTCCAATATTTTGAATGGTTCTATCGGAAAAAGAAACTATAATAAAAATGTTAAAATCTTTAAAAATAATAAACTTTTTCGATTTTTAGAAACTTGAGGGAACATTTTTACTGAATCTGGTTCGATCGTTTTGCTTAAAATGCACCCATCAAATTCTCAATATCTAAATAAATATTTTGTAAGAATTCTTTATTTTAATGAGAAAGTTATGAAAAAATGTTTTGAATGAATGTTGAAAAATGTATATTAAAATGAAAACTTCGTTTTCAAAATATTTTAAGTCGGCACAAAATCTTGTGTTTATAATAAATCGAGAAATAAAGAATATCTCAATTCTTTTAAGAGTAAAACCGTTTAAACTCTGTTTTCGAACGATGTTACAATATCATCTTAGCAATCTCAAAAAACTCCCAAGTCTGACCCAATCTGAAAGCATTAGATGCACACATCGCAAGCCTATTTTTGTATGTTATATGGCGTTGAACAATTTACCCAATATTGGGTTTACGACTATCAAAGTTCAACTCGGTAGCTTAGTCATTTTTAACCCAAACCCTGAACACAAGGGAGGTCCTATATCAAGCACTGAACCAAACTGCCATCGCGGAGGTCTGTTGATGAAACTAACCTGCGTTTGTGTTACCTCCCGCAATTAGCACAGGGCAAGGGGGTTCTAACCCATCATCTGTCTACCACAGAAAATATTTTATGTCAGTACTTGTTGGTGTGAACCGGAAGCAGAATTCATATCGACCGACCATCGCTGGGATTCGAACCTGCGTACCTCATTGGGAGGAGAGAGCTTTATCCCCTAAGCCAGTGGTCTCCAAACCGCGGACTTGTACCAGTCTGTGGAGTAAATGGTACCAGGCTGCCCAAATAACATTAAATTATTTCTATTTTATTTACTGTGGCTCATTTTTGTCAGATTTATTCGACTTCCCATGTACGGGAAACTGACCGGGAGCTGAGAGATACCACATAAAGCAGCGCCAATACCGCGCATGTAACTGTATTTTATTTTAAAGGCATGTTTAAATACGATTACTATTAGTAAATCGAAACATTCTAAAATAAAAACAATCAACGTCTACCCCTCCCTCAACGGTCAGCAGTAAAATTATGAAATGTTGACCGGTCCTCGACGATAAATAGGAGCACAGCCCTTATACTCCGTTTCTCGAATAGAATAATCCCGTCTTTTACAACATTAGTTAAGTGCCTAACTAATTGGCAAAGTTTCCCACATTTTCAAATCAGCCTGACAATTTTTAGGCTAATCGCAGAGAACCCACATGCCTGTAGAATGATTAGAAAATGCATCCTCTGTTGCTGAATTAGCCTGCTTTATTTCAGGCTGTTTGAAATGAGCCGAAAGTAGTGGTGGAGTAAAGGGTTATTGTAAACCTAAGCGAATTCAGTCTGACTGAGTAACACTTTACTGAATTTTAAATTGTCTTCAAGGCATATAGGCCGATTGTGATAAGCCTAAAAATTATCAAGTTCATTGGAAAATATAGAGTTTTAAAATTGGAACAGCACGCTGCAAAATGATGGTGATGTTTACCAGGGGCGGAATTTCTCAAAAAGCTCATGACGCATACATAGAAACTATAAATAGTACTGAATAGTTTTTATAAATAGTACTGCAGTTCTAGTATTTTTTAAGTTCTAGTATTTCAACTAGGAGACTCCGTTCGCCAACCATCATGGTTTATTCATCATCGTTCTATTCCTTTAAAGTTGATATTTTTCTATAAAAAAAGATAATTTTGTTTATTGAATACGTATAAATATTATAATTATATATAAAAATATTTTGTTAATAGAAATAAAGTGAAAAATGATCAGCGCTACAGGATTTTTTTTTTTTTTTTTTTTTTTANTGTAAAGAGGCTTTTTTTTGGTGCCGTGTAAGAGAAATATATATATAGATATAAAAATATTTTGTTAATAGAAATGAAGTGAAAAATGATCAGCTCTACAGGATTTTTTTTTTCTCTTAACTGAGGAACACAGATTGTGTGAAACAGTAAAAGGAAATGAATGACAAGTAATTTTTATTCGTTTACAATAAATACCGATAGCCTTAACTTGTAAAACAATTCCAAGTGAGAACGACTTTTATCTTAAGATTTTTAAAAATTTCGATACCAATGTTAAATTATATTTTTGGCAACGTCTCGCACTTATTATTTTTTCTAATATTTACTTATTTTATAAATTTTTTTTTGTTGTTGTTTTCTTTTAGACCAAGTCAAGAGCGTGCTTATATAAATGAAGACCTCGAGGGAAGTAAATTTTTCTACAACGGTGAATAAATAGTAATTTCTTAAACCAAAAAATTCTAAAAAAATCGCGAGTAGGGAACTTATAATTACAAAATCTTTCGAATATGTTGGAATTTCGAAAAAACTCGATGCCAGAAAAATCGTGATGGATTTATCAGAGCAACGATGAAGTCATGAGAAACTTTACGAAAATTCGACAAGAAAAAAGATTTCGAACTTGCATAATTTTTATTCATTTTTAATCATTTTGTCATCTAATTGAAATGTTTTCTCTTTAGTATTCTATAATTTATTTTCAATACTATACAATAACTAATTGTTTTCAATACTATAACTATAAAATTAGTCTTTTGTTTTCACCAAAATTAAACTCACCAAAACTCATTGAATATGCTTTCTTTCTCTATTTCGAACCCCTTTTTCAGTACTTGGTCAACCCCTCAAAAATTACCCCTTCGGGATGAGTTACATACATTATTTGTGTTATTAGGAAGCCATATAAGCTAAAGATATAGAGAAAACATGAAAAAAATGCTCCTTATACTATTGTTTCCATATATTTTGCTTTAGCTATATTAGTACAATATTAGAAAGCACTCCTTTTTGTGGATATAATCGTGTGAGCTGATGATGAGGTTATATCTTTGCATTACTTTACTTTCTGCCTTTTTAAATTTTTTTTTAAACAAATGTTTTTTTTAAATATTTTTAAAAATATTTTATTTTAATAATTTTTCTTCTTCACTTTTCAATAACCTTTTTCATATTATTTTCCATGTTTTCTTTCTTATCTTTAACTTATTTTATGAGTTCTTTATACTTGCAGCTTATGCGCAGTAAATCAAACTTATTATTTTTCTTAATTGTCTACGTTTATAAGAATTTTTTAGCATCATTGAAATCGGTTTTTATCAGTTTTAAGTGTTATGAAATTGAATTTTAAAAAATGTAAATCTGACTCAAAATAACAAAAATTTTAGTTTTAATGCTTTAAAATTTTGAGGAAAATCACAGGAAGTTCTAAAAAATATTAAGTTCTATTTCTCCTCATCTAATAAAGCAACCCCTTTTTTTATTACTTTTTTTTTTGGAAGGTATAATTTGCTGTCGAAAAGAACTATATCATCTAAAGTTGAAACTCAAGATGAAAGGTGAAACTCAAAAATTTAACCCAAAATACAAGATGGCGAGGGTAGAGGCTTCTTCATGCAATTTCTTCCAATATCTAGTTCATCTTGTAGTAAACTATTTAAATAAATCAGTACTTTACATCGAGTGACGCAGCTGGAATTGTAATTGGCGTTACGTACACCATGCCATTCTCTTGAGTCTGTCGTCCAGCAGATAAGGACAGCGTGAAAAAGGACTTTCGTCTTTCCAATGATTCAGGACAAAAAGAAGAATCAGTCCTTATGCTTTTAATTATAATTGCAAAGGGTGAAATCCACTTTAGATAGGACTATACGTCGATAACGAATTACAACAGATTACGCAGATTGTGCCAATTTGTGGAAACGATCAGATACCACTTTTTGGAGGGAATGGATCCCATTTAAAAGACGTCCACCCCTATCCATCCGGCAAAATTGCGGGGGCGGATGCTCAATCGAATGCCCTCTTTTGGATTATGATGTCTGTTTTTAATTGGAATATCCAATACCTTCGAATTCTCCAGCTTTTATTCCAAATAGAACAAACATGTCATTCGTCATCTGCGCGTGAGTTGCCATCTTTTCTTTAACCTTTTGGCACTTTTTTTCAGACGGTTTGGCCTCGCATCATTCCTTTTACGATGATAAATGATCTAGTTCCCCCTCACCAAGAGGGCTGATAAGGGGAGGAAGGTTTTATTCCATGGTTGTAGCTACTTTATCCACTTTTCAAGAAGCGAGCAAATTCATGAAGTGTCTTTGACAGATTTGAGGGGTGCGTTGGCTTTTAAGGGGGTTGTAAGTCTTTTTTTTTTTTGCGGGGGTGGGCGATTGGGTTGCAGAAACTATTAATATTGTTTTTAAGCCAGTTTTTTTTATGGATAGAGAAAAAGTAAAGGGATTTTTTTTTGTGTTAATATTTTGAAGCAGATTAATGACACTTTCTGTTCAAATTAGGTCAACCTGTATACTACATGTAGTTGACCTAATTTTGAGGAATAATGAGTAATTCATAGTTAGGTAGCGAAAATTTTGTCTTCCTGTTATAGTGTTTTAACTCATTTTATATCGAAAACAATACAGTAATGATCTTGAATAATTTAATTTTCAATAACGGACCAAGGCTTAGAATTTAGTATGTATTATTGAAAATCTAAATGCATTTTTGAATGATGAGCTAGAAAATATAAACACTAAACTAAGTTAACATAAATCTGCAGAAGAGAACAAAAAAGTATTCTTTTAATCTACAGGGTGTCCCAAAAGGTCGTTTACAAACTTAACATGCTGGTCTGTCACATCATGATGAACAAGATTTACATAGGAACTTGTGTCCGAAAATTAAAACTGAGACCGCTAGAGGGCGATAAGTG